AAAATGTGTTATCAATAATAAGTTTTTCATATGTAACTGTTTCCTTGGATTGAAATATATGAAGGGCAGAATTAATTTTAAATGCCTTTTAAAATATATAAATGACCATATATGGAAAATTTGTATATTCTGAAATATATTTAAAATACATTTTTATTTATTTTATTTTGTATTTATTATTATATTTACTATAGCAATGACAATATGCAACAGCTCTACTTCAACAAATTAAATACACAGTAAGTGTGACCAACATTGCGTATCAACACTGATAAACAATCCTAATTGATACCAAACAAATTAACACATATAATTAACATAAAACATCTAGCTGTATAACATATAATTGAAATACGCAACATTTTGTCGAGCTATTCCTGATTAAACAGTTATTCATATTGCAATTAATTATAACACTGCATGTGCAACATAGACAATACTGTATAATGTAAAGTGCATGCAAACGTAGACAGTTTTACCCAGCAGTTATGAAACGAAGCAGCATGAAAGGCTCACCTGTGTGTGTCCGTGTGTCTGTGATGCTGCGGTCTGTGCTGCAGTGAGCGCATCTGTACAAGCACACAGTGTGTTCAGCATCAGCACCACAACACGCTGCCTGTGACGGATGAAGACACATGAAGACGTGTGGAGCTGTGAGTCCATGCTGAAGGTTTCACATTACCACAGTGTCGCGACTGCCTGACTGCAGTGCTGCTGATGCAGGGACTCCTGTGAGCTCAAGGGTATCGATCACTGTTATGTAATTCAGCTCTCATAGCGTAGAATGAGAAACATGGGTACCCCTGTCATTCATATACCTATGTTTTTCATGCACAAATAATTCACTATAATGCCTTATAATACATATTTCAATGCATTATATATCTAGTCAAAAATAATTTTGAATTCATTTATAATGCATTATGATGCTCACCTCTTCATGATTTCACCTTTAAAGGATTAGGTCACCCAAAAAAATAATGAATAAAAAAATACTCACTCTGAAGCCATCCAAGATGTCGATGAGTTTCTGAATGAGTATTTGAAGCATTGCATCACTTGCTCAGCAATGGATGCTCTGCAGTGAATGGGTGCCGTCAGAATGAGAGTCCAAACAGCTGATAAAAACATCACATCTTGAGAAGACAAAAGAAACAACAAATCCATCATTAAGACGTTTAAAGTCATCTGCTCTGAATCAGGAGAGAAATCTGCACAGATCAAGCACCGTTCACAAATATGTGGCTGGATTTTGATGCGAGAGACAACATTATTATTATAAAGCAATAGCATGTTTTGAAAGGCTTCTTGGATGCTTTTGCTGGTTAATGCAGGAATCAAGCATGAATCAACTCTGCAATCAAACAAAAAACAATGGTGCCTTCGCATTTTCTTTATTGTTCATGATTCATTTAATGCACAGTAACTGTGTTTCCACATCCAGTACTTTACAGTAAATGCTAATCCAACCTGAATGTTCACTTCTGCACTGGAATCAAGCTGGCATGTTTTGCAAATAAACATGATCCTGTCATCCCGATTCACAAAAATACAGCGGTTCTAGCCTCATTTGAGCTAAAAAGGCTCAATTTATGATGCTCATTTTAGTTATTGAAATTGAAGGTCCTGACACCATAAATAAAATACGATAAATAAAACGGCTGCCAAACAGAACACCACTCACATTTTTTGGGATTTGGACTTTTGAATTAAAGTCCAAATCATTTAAGTTTGATTAAGCCTATATAGAAGCAGATGTCATAATGTCATTAGACCGGGAAAACGAGACTTATAAATTCGTACGACTTTACCGTCACGCTGTGGAAATAAAAATGGAAAAAAGAAGACAACGAAGGGGCGGAGCTACAAGCTTTTGTTACATTCAGAACTGGTTACATTGTGTTGTGTTTGTTACATTGCTCCATCTTTTTTGTTACTAGTTACAATGCGCCAAAGTTCCATTTTCAAAACCTGAAAACATTCCAAAACAATCGGAGCTCTAGATTCTTCCTCACACCATCCCTGAGTCGTTTGTAATTCACTGGAATCCTTTTGTGTTCCCAGTGTTGTGTGTCACACTGACAGATTTCCAAGCCATTAAACGCCAGCTCAGCAGAGAAATGACCGCGCCGAGAATCAGGAGGAGCGACAGGGGGCCTTCTATCACTCCTCTACATAAACGCTCTCTGCTGGGTTTCTACTTGACAGGTGATAAAAAACAAAACAAAACAAATCAAAAAACATCTGCAGCGCTGCAGAGGAGTACAATTAAACGCCCCTGGAGCTCCGAGCATGGAGTAAAAGCGCTGTAAATAGCTTTAGATAAAGTCATCTGCAAAATAACCCAATGCCAAACAAGCAAGGAATCTGCTGCATTGCATAACTAAGAGTTAGTCATTCAGAGATTGGTCCAGTCCACATCACAAAATACATTTCACAGCCCCAAGTAAAAACAGCTTAAACACCTTAGAACTTTAATAATAAGAGTTAAGATGTTTTTTAAAAATAGACAAATCTTCTCATTGATTGTTGGCTTAGAGAGTAGCGTGTGGCCTCATCTTTGTGCATTTTGTGACTTGTAGTGTTTTTTTTTTTGTTTTTTTTAGATCAGGATTACTGAATGCCATTTCATTGCATAATAATTCATACGTAGGCCTATTTCCTCTCACGTAGGCTAATTAAAGGGCTTTTCTCTGATGATCATACTGTAATTATGATTTTATGTTTTTGTTAAGCCTTAATGCTTTAAATACAACTAAAAATGCATGAGAGATTTCTTAACTAAAAATGAAAACCCTGTCATCATTTACTCCTCTTTATGTTGCTATAAACTTTTAAAACATGTCAGGCTTCTAAAAAGACAAAAAGCATCAAGCACTATATACCATAAAAGTCCTTCAGATAACTCATGAGGGAGAGTAAAAGCCGATTTTTTAATTTTTTTTATTTTTGGGGGTGAATTATTCCTTTCACAGTCCAGCTATTCTCACAAATAGCCAGCAGTGGAAAGAACATTGTGTCCAAACACCAAAAGCATTCATAACGCTCGTCTTGCAGTGTTTTATAACAGTGAGCAGGCCTCTGCAGTTCTTTCCAGCTAATCATCTCAGTGCAGAAATCCTGAAAGTGCACTGAAATGAAAAGATGAATGCAAACTGAAGTCATATTTGACCCTATGTCTTATGGGTTAAACACATCTTTATGAATAATAAGCAGAGTACAGAAACACTCAAAACAAGCACAGACATTTAGTTTCAGGTAACTGTTCAGAATGCAAACTGCAGTGCTGTATATTAAAAAGACAGTGGATATTTGCACTAAGTGAAAACAGCAGTATTTTCTTTGCAATAAGTGTACATAGTTGTTAGATGCTATTTATAGGCTACTTAGTGCAAAAAATGTTGGATATTTGCAACTCAGTATTGTAGTGCATTATAAAACAGTATGCAATAATAGCATATTGAGTTGATCATATTTATTACAATGATTAAATAGATGTTGTTTTATTGGGTTAGGGTTAGTTAGTTTTAGTTGGGACAATAAAACGCTCCCTACACCTTTTCCTAAACCTACCCGACTTTATTATTAAATACCCATGAGCCTCAAATGTACAAATAAGGAAATAGAAACATAGACTACTTAGAATAGGCTAATATAATATAAAATGCTTCATTTTAATTATGTTTTGTTTTTCACGTGTGTTTGATGTGTCTTAATTCACATCAGATTTGAGCAGATGTTGCAGAAGTTTCTTCACAAACTGAATTAACAGGATTCATCCTGTTTGATTTTATAATGGCGTTATAGCGCCACCTAGTGACTGACTGACGCACATGCTAAAGGCTTATTCACTATTTACAGGTTATTTAATCATTTTTTCTCTTTTAAAATTGAATTAAATGTTTTAACATCATTTTGCTTATTTTTATAATAATAATAATAATTATTATTATGATTATATTATTTTATTATATTATTATTATTTTTTATTCATTACAATTATGAATTCCTTTATCACAGTGCAGTGAACTAGTGAATGCAAAAATGTGTGCGTGTGTGTGTGTGTGTGTGTGTGTGTTTGTGTGTGTG